ACGTGTTGTTACATAATTTGCTTAACTAAGGGGCTCTGATCCCTATGTATTCTTGTTTAATCCTTAAAAGAATTAGATATGACAGAAGCCCGGTTAGGTGAACTTCTCCTTACCACTTTTTAACATATGCTTTTCTTTATCATCCTCACTCTCCCACCTATAAACTACATGGAAATGGCAAATGACTCATCCTCTCTCTCTCTCTCTCTCTCTCTCTCTCTTACATAAATATATATATATATACATAATAAATATATAATTCCTTTCCTTTTCATTTTCACTGTAAAATGCTGATGCGTTAACATTTCTTTGAATTTTATATTTTTATTTATCAAATAAAGATAACTGGAAATAAGATCAGCTTAAAATAAAACAATATTATATTTTTTCATTAATTTTTTTAAAAAAATCTTATTTAGTTTGTTTGTCTATCCTGAATTTATCAATTTAAAATTTAAATTAACTCAAATTTATTAAAATAGCAATTAAAAGCACATAAAAACATAGCTAACATCGATAAATAATAGATGGAATTTGTTGGATGGTGGAACTTTCAAAAGTTTATTAATTATACGAATAGCCACCATATGATAGAATTTAAGAGCCTTAGTTTGTTTGTATCATACAATAAACTTTCAATGGGAAAACAAGAATTTCATAAGTGTATATATATATATATATATCATATAGTAAGTTACGATTTGATGTTTGTTTTATTTTATTTTATTTTAAAATACATATGCTTATAACGGTTAAACATTTTTCAAAACAAATTGTTTAATTTACCAAATAAACTTTGTTATATTTAGAATAGGGCTAATTTAATTGTGAAACTAGAAATCCAAAACATATTCCTTCTTAATGACTCCAAATCAAAACCTCAAAGTTATCATTGTTACAAAAAGAAACGTAGTGTATTCCTCATAATCCTTCATAAATTCCCACTCTTTTATGCCGCCCAGATTTAATATCATATTTTTACTATTAACACGATAATTTAATAATTAAAATTTTTTACCATTTACTTAAAAATTTTGTGTTTGAATTTAATTAATGATATATATTATGAACTGTCAATAATTAACATATAATACTTGAATTAACAAGATCAACAATTTAGGTAATAAATGTATTGTTCAGAATGTGATGATTAAATTGAATTCTATATTAGCGAGTTATGATATATCGAGATTGAAAGATATTTTATAATAAATAAATTCTTTTAGTTAAAATATTCATAGCAAATTAAAAAGTTCGACCTAATTTATTTTTTTCTATAAAAAAAACACCATCATCTTTAAAAATGATAAAAATATATAATTTATTTTTAAAAATATAAAACAAAACAGAGTTAATAAAATATTACTTTCTTACATTCTCTCCTTTTGTACTCGAAATAAAAATATATAATTTACTTTGTATTTGAAAAATCTCATTTGTGCATTCTTCATCTTGTTTTTCTTGGACCAAATTCGAAAATCAAAGTTGTGACATAAACACAAACATGGCATGTTCAAATTGCAAGGCACAAAAAACTCATGAAAGGTATGTTAAAATATAAAAGTGGGGATGAGGACCAATTATTGGTGTGCAAAGGTAAGATTTTTTTTTTTAAAAGAAAAAGAAAAGAAAGTGCAAAATAAGGTCCATCCAAATTCAAAGGGTGAGTGGCATAGGATTCTATCCATCTTCCCCCCACTCCACATGAGGGTTTGTTCATTTTCTTGGTCTATCGCAAAAACAGAACACCTTCCCACTATCATAAGAGTCCGAGTTGGGTGGGCGGTCAAGTGTGCGTGTGGGACAGGTCATTTGGGTTTATGGCTATACATTGGATAACATGGCCTGCTCAATCAATCCAACCCAACCATCTTCTCTTTCTTGAAAACGATTTTCCCTTACATTTCATGTTGACCACTGACTCCCCTAGAAGTTGACTTGCATGTAAGTTTCATTCACGCATGGATATCAACAGTATGGCTACTAGCTACCAGCCTGATAAGACTTCAAACTCTCAAAATTTAAACCAAGAACAACAAAGACAATGCTGGTGCTAAAAACCCAGATGACCTTTACATTTGTTCATAACATATATAACTTCAAACATGGATTTTTCTTCCCATCATCTTAACATATATATATATATATATATGTATGCATGTATGAAGGTGGAGCGTGCAAATGAGGATAAAGAAAACCAGACAAATTATAGATGAGAAATGATCAGATAGACACCACCATGTATGAGAAGCAAAATGTTATTCCTACTTATTTATGATTAACACCCTATACAGAAATCCCTAAAACACTACAATATAATATCCTAACATTTAAGAGAAAAAGAAAATACTACCAGAGGTTATCACCTTAACAGAATAAAGAAGTCAAATCAATAACAGGTGCGGTGCTCTTAACCTATATCAAACACGAGAGAGATCAATCGGCCTTCTCGACATGGCGCTCTCAACCTATATCAAACACGAGAGAGATCAATTGGCCTTCTCGACATGGCGCCTCACGAAAACGGATTCCAGGTCCGGGGGAGTGAAGAACTCTCTATTAGCACCGTAATTGCACTTGAGAGAAGGCTTCCGCTTCCTGGGCGGCGGCGGGGGGCACGTGAGTTTGGTTGGAATTTTGGATTCTTCCGAAGTCGGTGTCTTGCAACCCTCCTCAGCTGCGTTATCGGTCTGATCCTTATCGGGTGGGGTAGTGAAAATGGTCGTCAACTGGGCTCGGGAAGGAATTCCAGCGATGACCCATCGTTTTCCTTCGGATTCTATCCCACCATCGACAACTTGAGGCTTCCCTGAAAATCCCATATCTTCGGATCAAAGCAGCGAAAACTTCCAATCGTTTATATATAATAGAAGATGAGAAAGGAATAAAGACGGACTGGGCTGTTTTTCTCCTTTTCTCCTTTTCCTGGCTTTTGTGATGGAGGAGAATCAAGTGAAAGGAGGAGGAAAGGGGGAGAGAAAATAAAGAGAGAAATTTGAAGAGGCGGAAAACGGAAAAGGTAGAGAAGTAAATGGGATGAAGAAAAGTATTAAATAGGTAGGAAGGGGTAATTGTTCAATAATGGGGCTGGGGGG